TTTTTTTTTTTTTTGTTACTAACGACTACAGGTTCGCATCGTATATTTATTATATAGCGCCCAAATATAAATTGTTTGATTCTGAGATTTATTTTTGTGTTTTTGCAATAAAAGATTTCGCATTTGATAAAATTGTCTTGAATTCAGAGCATTTATCTTTAAACACACTAAATATAAAATATGACTCCACGACTTTTTTATACTACGAGTTCGTCTACTATCTCTACGTTAATTATCGATCCGTATTATTGGCAGTAAGGAAAACAGAAGTATATACGCTCAGATATCAATATGTTGTACGAACACGTACGTACAGTGTGAAGATAATAATACACCAAAAACCGTGTGTGAATCGTGCGATGACGATTTTTTTCTTTATTTTTCAACACTGTCGCATTTGCGCGAGAATGTGTTCTACAAGATTTTTCAGACATTTTATGTAGTATATAATTGATACCAAAAGCTCGTACTTTTTCTAATCTGCATTTGAGTTTTTTAAATATATTTCTTTTTAGCTCTACACATATATATATATATATATATATAGAGCTATATATACAGAGTGTCTGACAATTCCTTTAAAATCTCTTGTAGGCAGATAGAAGGAGTAAAACTGAATCGAGAAGTCCTGAACCATTTTTTTTCTATTACATATAATAAAGGAGTAATTAATTGAAATAAATCAAGCCAATCAGAGCCGACTTTTAGCGGGCGCACGTCAGTGAGCCGCTCGCGCACACCAGGCGCGTGGTCGACTAACGCGCGTTCGGCTAAAGGTCGGCGCTGATTGGATTTGATTTATTCAATAATTACTCCTTTATTATATGTAATAGAAAAAAATGATTCAGGACTTCTCGACTCGGTTTTACTCTTTCTATCTGCCTACGAGAGATTTTAAAGTAATTGTCGGACACCCTGTATATATATATATGTATATGTGTATATATATATATATGATTTATTGTTACGTATCTCTCTATTATTAGATTTTTTCTTTCGACAGAGATGCTTTTTTTTTAATGTGGTGAAGGGGTATATGAGTTGGATACAATAGATAAAATCTACATACGACTCACAATATTTGTTCATTAGACTTAGATTCACAATGTGTGTTATTTCAAGTAGTAGTACTAACAATTTACTCTGAAATATCATATATCACATTTTAGCGTCGCGGTTCTGCAACCGAGAATCCATTCTCACAGTTTCTGATTTTCTCTTCTACGTCAATCACTGTAACGCGCGACGTATTTTCTTTCTTTTTTTCTTATCAACGTCTTCGATGTTACTTTGTCAACCGGAATTCTAACTTTTTTTTTCTTGCAACTACGTTATATATATATATATATATTATCTTGCATATTCATATATATAATTGTTATATAAGTAGACGCGAATGTTTATAAGATATCTCTACTAGTATATAAACTCTTCTCAGATATAACATTCTCTTCGACAAACACTGGAAACTACCGGCGTTTGTACAGTTAAGTTTTTGTTTTCTCTCTCTCTCTCTCTCTCTCATATGATTCACAGACCAAGGTTTCACCTCGAGATAAAGATATATAATAAACCTCGCCACACGAAATCATATTTGTCTGGATGACAAGACGAGATATTTTCAAATACAAATTCATTCGTCGATCGCGCAATAATAATATTTTATATAATCCTTCCGAAATTCCCGATATGATTGTCATCCAGTATTTTAAGACACTCTAACACCCTTTAAAGATCGTCTTTCGATATTCTCTCGCACGATTAAATACAATCTACAATATATATGATATTACGAGTACTCGGTGCAACAACCAACATAATTGGACCGTTTATTTTGAAAGTGGTGTAAGTCCATTTTTGAAAAAAAAAAAAAATGAGATATCACGTAATTCATGCTTAATTTAATGTAAATTTTTTATGTATAACTAGTTTCTCGAAACAAAAGAAAATGGACTTACACCACTTTCAAAATAAACAGTCCAATCTTCAAAGGTGTCCGTTTGTGTGTGAGAACAAAAACGAACAATTAAAATTAAAATTTATTGTTAGAAAGTTTGTTTTTTTTTGTTTTTTTTTTTTAGAACTTCGTGGTAGACATTGACTCATATTACACATGCGGATAAAAGATAAAATTAAATTGACTGTGATAAGATTTTATTACAACAAAATATTATATCGACCGGGGCTTAAAATAAATCTTTTTTAAATATTCGTTACACAATCCCAAATTTTTTTTTGCTAATATTCTAATTTTATTTCACGGAACACGGAGGAAAAACTCTGAAATGTTTTCCTTAAGTAAACGGCTTATCGATATCTAACGCTTTGTTTTTTTTTTCTTCTTCTTCTTCTTTCGAACGCTTCTTATGGCTGTCTCCCAGAACTTTCAGAAGAGACGACGGAAACGGAGATAGATTGTGTGAATTATTGTTCGTTCACTCCTTCGGTTTCCTCAGCCAGCTTCTCCGGCCGAGACTTGCGACGCTCATCGAACTGGCAGTGCTGGAAACGCTCGCCAACGAGTTCAGGCTTACCGAATGTTAATCCTGCAGCATGTGCACAAAACTTATCGGGAACATGCCCCGCCGTTCCGGCGCCCGTTCCAGCGCGCCCTCCATCCAATTGTCGTCGTCGGTCTGTTCGTTCGTCACGATGATGATTTCACCCTCGCGGAAAGATAGCTCGTCCTCGTTGTCGGCCTCGCAGTCGTACAAGGCTCGACAACGTCGAAGGCCGTTCAAAGTCGATGACGTTGGCTAAATAAGAAAAAAAAAAAAAGATTCACAAAATGAGAGTCAATGAAATTCATTGGTCGGTTCATGTGAATTGGAGGAAGAAATAACAATAAACGGATGCAATCAAGTACATTGTCAAACTTAAATCAATCCATTCGAGGAAACTCATGCCAGAGAGAATCAGTATTCACAGTTTACACTTAACGGACTTACAAATTATTAATTACATATTATATAATATATATATACAAGAAGTCGATTCGCATTAGGAGAATTGTGATATTTTTATCGAGTAAATCGGACGTATAAAGATTGAACGAGGCCATTCGTACAGGCAGGATTATTATCAAAGGAATATTAGTTCGCACACATAACGCAACATATCTCGCATTTGTCAGCGGCGGATAATCCGATTGCGAAGTTATTTATTGTTTTTGCGCGAAAGAGGGTTTTCAATATACCATTTTGTTAGAAATTAATAAACACATCTCAAATGAGATTAACGAGCGTGTATGATTGTGTGTGAAACGGAGGAGGAGATAAGAAATGAACCGTTTCCAAGTGATTATTTTTGACGAAAAATTGCGAAAATTAAAAGCTGTCAAACTGAAAAAAAAAAAACGTCGACGTTACAATAGGTATATACAAATGAACGAACAGCACGACTGACCATGCAGAGCGCTGCTACACTTGAAAATACCACATTGACAGGATATTAAAGACAAGAGAGTGAAGATTTTTTTTTTTTTTTTTCTGATATACAAGAAACACGAATTATGATTAATTAATAAACATACACAAAAAGTTTCGCATTAATTTTAATAGAAAGTTGTATCGTTAAAGTTAAAAAACACAAAAATATAGCACCATCTCTTGTGGGTATTTATTTACGTAAGAAAAAAAAAAAAAAAAAAGTGATTTCAAGTGTAACATGCCGTAATGTGGGATGGCTGATGTTTACCAGATTCAGATTTGGGAGCAAAGATGAAGGCTCCTCGGCGTAGCTCTCTAGTCTGGATCGGTCCCTTCGCTGTACCAACAACGGTTAATGACAAACCATAAAGCATTGAAATTTTGAAAAATGCATGCATTCTCTCTAACACACCATAGATAATGTATGTATATGTATATATCTCAAAATTCGAACTTTATAAATACAATATATTATTTGATAACAAAACCGCTCTCGTTATCGTACAGCTATCTTCGATACCGTTTGATTTCTCTAGTGACAATTTTATTTCGAGAAAAAAAACTATTTTTTTTTTTTTTTTTTTTTTTAAATAAAAACTACACACATTTGATACACGTAGCTTGAACGATTTTTAAGATGAAAGTTATCAACTCGTTAGAGAAATATTAGTGCTTTCGACATTATTTTTGGGACGTTATTTTTTTTTTTTTAGTGAATAGTTTTGAAATTGATTACGTGATTACGATACATGAAACGAGATAATGAATGAAACAACTCAAGAAAGAAAGAGAGAAAGAGAGAGAGAGAAAACAACAATAATCTACGTCTCAATGATTTATACATATATAATGGATAAAAAAAAGGAGATTTTAAATATATAACAATATAGTACGTTATGCGCGATTATATTGTTAAAGTGATTGGGTACAAAATCACAATGTGCGATCATAGTGGGTTAGTGTAATATGCAAACGCTCTCAAAAGTCCGCATACGACTGAATCGAATAAAAAACTACTATACACAGGGAAACGTGAAGGGTTGGCACACAACCTGGTTAGTTACAAATTTTTATATCTACTGTGTTTAGTAACAAACGTTCAACAATCGAACGCGTTGTGCGTAAACAGTAAAGGAGGCGGTGAGACAGTGGTTTAAATGTTCGACGTCGAACACTCGTTAGGCAAGTAAGTAGATGATGTAATGAACGATTTTTCTGCATATAATTGCGCCAGTAAGCGGCACTCCTTCCCGAGGTAAAGGACGATTTGAGATTTTGCAAGAGCAAAGATTTTTCATATATTTCTGTTCGCGCTGTATCTCTAACATTGTTATTGTTTTTTTATATTTTTAATATTAATATATTAAAAATTTTCCTTTTCCACCGATTGTCAATAAAATTATACGATCTGTAAACATATTGGCGTAAAGAAAGAATATGTTGTTTTATTTATTTATTTTTTTTTTTGCGAGAAAAACTACCTATTCCACTTGAATCAAATAAATTTTTGAATTTTTGTTAATTCAAATACGGCTTACCTTTCGCGGCGGCGGAATGGGATTGCCCAGACCGTGATCCGAGCACATGGAACTCAGGGACTCGCTGCTGCGACCGTTGCTCAGTCTGGACGTAATACCGGACGGCGCGGGTGGCGGTGGATTTCGCGGTCTCTGCAACGTTGAGGTATTTGTCTTCTCCATACCTGTGCGCAGAAACAAACAAAAAAAAAAAAACATCTCATTGATACGTGTAACGATCGGATAATCGAAAATCTCTCTTCTTTTGCTGAGATTTTTATTCTATCGAATGTACCATGTCCCGTCGACGAGTCGCCGCTCGGTGATCTCTTATGACGTTGGCTATTTAATGTATTCAACGAATGCGGTAGAGTGTGTAAAGTGTGACCGGCTAAAATCGGCTCGCTAGTCGTACGACTGTGTGTCGACGTAGGTAGCGTACCGTAGTGCGACGATGGCAGGACAACGCCGCTCGATGCGTTCCCGGGAGGTGGCGGCGGCGGCGCTACTCGTTTCTTCAGCGAGCCGTGGATGTTTATCGAAATGTCCGGCGCCATGGGGGTAGGTACTGCGCATCACAAACATTAATACGCCGATCAAACGTAAATAATAAAAACACATTTGTTTTAATGGATATAATTAAAATTAACTCTTAAACCTCACCAGGGGGTCTATGGGACCCTTAGCATACCTTTAAGCAAGCAAAAAACTCACCAATTCACGATTGTTTTTTTTTTTTTTTTTACATATTATAATAAAAAAGATTCAAGAAATAAGATTCTTGATTCAGCATCCCTCTTGAAGAGTATCTATGATTTTTTTTTTTCAAGACGGAAAAATGAATAGATTAATTTCTAGAACCTTTTGTTGTGAAAAGAGGCTGGGGGGTTTAAGGGTTAAACAAATCTCTGCTTACCAGCTACAGGTTTTCTCGCTTGCGGTGGCGGGGGTGGAGGCATTTGCTGGCGATTCGTCGACGCGCTCGGAGATGACCCGCTCTGCAGACTGTCACAGGTGCTACTCCGACTGCGTAGTGTTACCGGCGAATCACCGGATCCCGTACCACCTCCTCCAGCGTACGACGGCGGCCTGCTGCGTGATTTCTTTTCGGGTGTCAAGCATCCGTTCTGATAAATATTCAATATATACATATGTATATATATATATATAAATATATATATATATATATAATCGTATATATATGTATATATATGTATATATATAATAACAGTTTAATATATATAAATGTACTCACTCTGTCTTCAATTATTGTTTCGTCGTCGGAGAAATCCGTAGAGCCTTCATCGTGAGAGAGATTCCAGTCAATATTTACGTTATCGAACAACGTCTTCTGTCTTTGCAGAGCGTGACTTAACTAAAAAAAATTAATTCGTTGTTTCTTTCACAGATGATTTTTTTAAATACAAGAGAAGAATGTATTTTTAAAAACAGTGACAATGTGTTACGCGCGAAACGAAAAGATAATAACAAAAAAAATAAAAAAACGTCATCAAAAGATAGATGTCGAATTACCAATTCTTTGCACGTATGATGTCCCATTTCCTGTGCAATGTCTAATGGAGTTTTGTCCTGCTTGTTACGATGTGACGGATCCGCGCCCGCTCGCAGTAGCAGCTTCATTGCTTCTGCTCTGTCATGCCGCGCGGAAAGGTGCAACGCCGTTTCGCCGTCGATGGTTGTTCGATCGATACCGCCGCTCGGCATGTTTTGCACCAGAAAATCCACAATGTGCAAACTGTTTCCCATTTCACGTAGAATGGCCAAGTGTAACGCGGTCTCGCCTACATCCTGAAGTGTGTGGACATGGAGATTTTTTTGTTTGTAAAATATAAAATCTCTTTCTCGGTACGGAATAAAAATTTCAATTGGTTTTCTTATTACGCGCATAAATTTATAAATCACAAAATTCTATATTTTAAAAAGTTGCTGATATTAAAATCGAAATGTTTTTTTTGTATACGTTTTGTATATAAACGTTTTTTTATTTATTTAATTTGCACAGAGAGATAAATTTTTCGCTGAAGATCCCAATATCTTACCGATGTCGGCAGCGGTGCGGCCAGATCAACGTTCTCGGCGTAGACTTGTAGTAGTTGTTGCAGGTCGCGGTTATTAACGGCATGCTCCAAATCGGAAAGTAGATCACGCTCGTCCGCACACGTGTTCATTACGTATCTTTTCTCCAAGTACTTGGCGCGTATAAATTCGTATCTCTCCTCCCTTCAACGTGAAAACAATAAATATAAACAATAGATATAAACAATAAATATCTATAATTCAGAGAAAGGACAAATAGTTCCAAAAATATGTAAATTTCAACGTGACAGGCAGTTGGGAACTAAATACACGGGTGTTGTTGTGTGGAATATGCGATGGTAATATTATTTATTCATGATGTATATATAAATGAAGCATAACGTTTCGACCTTTGGTTTAGTCAAGCACAGTTCTTGTTTGCAATGCGACTCGTTGTAACATCTTAATTATCATCATTGTTTTGTACGAAGTTTTTTTGTTAAAAACAGCACATATCTAATTTGATAAAGACCTAAACCGAAGGTCGAAACGTTATGCTTCAATTATATACATCGTGAATAAATAATATTACCATCGCATATTCAGACAACAACACCCGTGTATTTAGTTCACTCAACTGTCCTGTCACGTTGAAATTTAAATAAATATCTAATTAACTAAATAAAAAAGAACGAAAAACAATTTCAAAATATTTAATTTGGCAGCAGAAGGTACACAGATTCGAACAGTCGAAAGCTTTAAGTATTTGCTTACATTGTTGACGTTGGTGACGGTTTAAGATTGTGATGTAACGACGCCTCCATCACCTCGTTGAACGTCTGATTGGTCATATGCCGCGCGAGTAACAGCTGAGCCGTGCCAACGTTGTCCAGCGTCAGTGATTGTATTCGCGATATGTGCACGCCCAAGTCTCGGTGGATGCCGCTGCACTCTATGCACACTATTATGCCAAAGTTCGTCGACAGCCACGTAGCGTCTGAAAAGGAGAGACGCACAATTGCATATATATACGTTCGACAACAAAACGTTCCCGCGACGCGAACCAGACCGCGAACGAAGTTGTCACTGTCGCCCGGGCATTGTCGCACAGAATCATATATATATATATATATACGACAATGCCCGGACCCCCAGCGAAATAACAATTCATATCGTATAACCATGTAAATGATGTCACCTTTCGACGGCGGAAAACATTGCAACTCATATTGTAAAATGTAATTTTATAACAAAAGATATTAACAGAGCGCGTATAGATGTTTTCAACGCCGCGACGTAACTGCTGCGTAATATATAAACAGCGAATAGATTTAATAAAAAAAAAAAAAAAAAAAAAGAAACAATATTCTCATCGTATCTTAAAGGACAAATTTGAAAGTTACAAACGAATCGATTTCCCCGTCTCGTAATGCGCTAATTTGACGGAGAAATCGGTTTAGCCACAAACAGTGTACAACTTGGTTGGAACTTGGCACGCGTCAGAGAGAAAGGCCCGGTCAATCGCTAACGATCTACGATACACGTCAAAGTTACCGTTCTGCGAGGAGCAATCGCAACACTGATCGTTTCCGGGTAACCGCATAACGCATCGTATCACGGCCTGCTGCAACTCAACGAGGCTGGGATTGCCGCTCCCGGCCTCCGCCTTGCCGCTCGCATCGAACGCCCGCAGCAATGCGCGCTCCTTACAATTTACCAGGACCGACATCCACGCACGCTGATCCGCCTCGTCCTCCGCTTGAAAGTGGTACGTTCTATTGTCTGAAAACCGAGACAATGTGGTATTACGGGCGACGTCCGTTCATTGTGAAGAAACGACGTTGACGTTGTCGTCGTCGTCGTCGTCGTCGTAGTCGCCGCCCGGAAGCTAACACGCTCCCGGCCATTCGAGCGCGCGGATACTACTTACAGCTTACGAGATCGAAGCCTCGCTTGTCATCCGGCACTAACTTGATCTGGCAGGTCAATAGGTTCACTCTGGTAGGCGGTTTGTTCTCGTCCGCGTGACAGATATCGAGATAGCCCTCCGCCTGCACGGCGCATCGCCTCTTCTGCCAGACTCGCCTCATTTTGCCCTCGCTCTTCTTCAGCAGGTGACCCGAGCGAGTAACGCCGTGCTGCTTGTCACCTTGCAGCTGATGCAGCGAATATCCCGCGTTCGCGTTCGCGTGCAACTAAAGAGAATATATATATATAATGCGCGACACGTCAGGTTTATAGAACAATGAAATAAATATATAGATAAAAAAAAAATAAGTTTGAAATTGACGAATGAGGGTTTAAATAAATAAAGCAACAAAGTTTTTTTATAGTCCCTAGAAAAAAGTGTGTTATAACACTATGACACTTTTACTATTTAATTCTAGCATTTGATTAAGTAGGCCGAAGCGATAAAATGTGACGACGACGACTGAGAAAGGGATTTACAGAGCGCGCGTGGCCTGGTCGATAGCGAACGAGAGTGAAAAAGCAACAGTACCAATTAAAGACCATTTAGAGATCTACTTCTGCGGTCGCGCTTTCCGCGACGGATTAAAATGTTCAAAAGAAATAAATCTCGTCGCGCTTTGAGAGAAAGAAACAGCTCCTCGTCGTCCATCGGCGTTACCTCTTTGTCACATCCGGAACTCCTCAGGAGACTTCTAAGTTCCGTTAGCCGTCTCCTTTCCTCGTCTTGCGTCTGCCGGATTTTTTGTAGCTTCACGCTGAGATCGGCCACGTACGAGCCGAAGTGCTCGATCGTCTTCAAACCGTCCTGAAAGTAACTGAAAAGTTCCGAACGCAAATGTTAGAAAATTCAAACGTTTCAAAGTTTCCGCTCCCTTTACGCGCCAAGGATGAAAAAAAATTAAAGAAAAAAAATTTATATATATATATATACAGGGTGTCCCAGAATTGCCGTACAATCTCTCGTATGTAGGTAGAAGGAGTAAAACTGAGTCGAAAAGTCCTGAACCATTTTTTTCTATTATTTATAATAAAGGAGTAATTATTGAGTAAATCAGGCCAATCAGCGCAGACCTTTAGCCAGGCACACGTCACTCTAACACACCAGGCGCGCGGCTCACTTACTCAATAATTACTCAATAATTACTCCTTTATTATAAATAATAGAAAAAAATGGTTCAGGACTTTTCGACTCAGTTTTATTCCTTCTACCTGCCTACAAGAGATTGTACGGCAATTCTGGGACACCCTGTATATATATATTGCGATAAATCACTCGAGAGATTACGAAATAAATTTAATATTACGTGTCGTGTACTCACTTTGTTTGCGCGTGATAATATTCGACTAGATGCTGCAACAGCTCGATGCCCTTCTTCGTTTTGATCTCGTTTACTTTGATCAGATACTGCAAGCAAATACAGACAAGCAATGATTGACGCGCAAGTTCCCGCGTCTTTTTTCTATCCCCTCTCGTTCGTGCCACGCTCAAAGTATATACAGTTTTTTTTTTATTCAAACAGTCGTAAAAGCACAATTACGCACTAAACTGTAAATTTGCGTGAATGGGGGGATGCTCATCCCCTTGAACATCTCAAGTTTTTTTTTAATGTTTGACATAACGCTTCCGACTATGAACAATATGCTTTAAAAAAATTTAATATATAATGCGCGTCAATTAGTTTTAATTTTTCTTTTTGTTTGCGATCACGTGAAACTAATTATTTTACGTTGAATTTAACAATTTCAGTTTTTTTTTTTTCGCCCGTGATTACACGAGACTGATTACTTTATTTATTAAAGTTAAATATTTAACACAATTTTGGTTTGTAAACAAGTATGAATATAATGTAAGCGGCTTTAAAAATGTAATTTTATTTTCAAAGCAACGTGTTTGCCGTTTTAAAAGTTTAAGTTCTCTGATTTCAAATTTCAACTAGGAATATGTTTTTAAACAAATTAAAGAATGTAAACACTTCTAATAAAACAATCCGTTGTCGCATATATTATTTTATTAAACTACACACCTATACCGTTAATCTAGATATACGTAGTATTTTAATAAATTTTCTGATTATTACTTATGACATTTTAATGTTTCAACTAACTGGTCATTTATTAGCTCGTGGCCGATCATTTAATGGGTGTGTGCGGTCATCTACTGGGTTTTTATGCTTGTTGCACTATGTAATTAATTTATAATTAATATGTAATTAATTACACTAGAAAAAAGTGTAGTTATTTATATATAAACATCTGAAAACATTAATTATAAATTTAATTGTAACAGTTGTTTTATTGTTATAAACAAATTTATTCGAGGATTATCCCTAAACGTACGTAGATTCAACAATTCGGTCATTTATCCAGACCCAATTTTTGATCAATACTCAATAATTTTTGATCAGTTTGTTAACACGTTTCGTGCCGGTCCGATTTTCGATGACTTTTCGTTCACGCCGCGTGAACGTCGTATGCGCCCCACGCTTTCGAGACTATCAATTTTGTTTATGTGACATATGTTTCATAATATTTATACGATTGCAGAAATCATTATTATCAAGAAAAAAGTAGTTAAATGCCCACGACGTAATAACTATTGTATATTGTACGTGATATTTAGGCATCAATATATGATTTTAGAAAATATTTTATGACAATGTCACACTCAATAGCGAAAATAGCATGTGACCTAAACGGAAAGTCTATAGAGTGGGGCGTATACGACCCACGCGGCATGGAACGTGTTAAAAAAATATTACAGTAAAGTTTTGGTCGTTAAAATTATGTCCGAAAGGAGGTATTATGTACACCGAAAAAATTGTATTCTTGTTTTGAGGATATCCCACTTACTTTAAGTATATTTTATACTAAAATAGGCGCCAAGAAGAGTTTCTTATTTTAAGAGGAAAATCCTCTAAATAGCAATATTGATAAGAATATATACTGATTAGAATATAAAAAGCCTCTATATAGAAAAACATATATATCTCACTATCGAAAAAGACTATATCCTTAAATTAAGAATATATTCTTAAATAAAGAATATATTTTTAGTTTCAGAAGAATATCATCTAAAATCTTTAAGAAGATTTTTTAAGTATAAAATCTTCTACTTACGAGAATATAATTTTTTCGGTGTACAGATGTCGGAATATAATTAATTATTGTGCCAAAATTTGGTTCGAACTAATTTTTACGATCAAAACCTTACTTGTAATAATTTTTTAACAACTGATTAAAAATTGGATACCGATCGAAAAAACTGGGTCCATGACGGTACTGGTTGGTTTTTTACCCGTACTGTACGCGTGCCGCGTCTGATCAGATATCGCGAACGACTTTGCGACTCATTTTTATTTATTATTTACTTGCTCTCTCTCTTGATGTTCGCACGATAATATAAACATCGCTCACCTCGCACATTTGCAACTGAAACAACCGTCTCTCTTTCTCCATCTCGTCGGCTATCTCGGCGGGCGTGACTTCCGTGCGTATCAAACCGGCCTCCTTCGCGTGCTGCTTCTTCTCTTTCTCGATTTTCGCGTACTTGGCCTCGTAATCCTTCCAGGCCTTTTCGAACGGCCTCTTCAAATCACCCTTCACACCTCTCAGATCACCCTTCAGCACCGAATCCAACGGAAACATCACGATGTTGTTGATGTTCTGCATCTGAAATCATTTGAACATTTTTTTTATCAATCGCCGATCAATTCACTTCCTTCTTTCTGTTCGTTGCCGATTTTATAAACTATGTGTTTTTGTTTTTATTTAACCACGTGTAAACAGAACGTGCGTGTGTATATATATTTAAACGATTACGCAATGTAATTAATTAACATTCGCAAATTGCCTCGTATGTAACGCGTACGTTTTAGCATTCTGACAAAAAAAAAATATTAGCGATGTGACGCATCTTATATCTATTAGATATCGAACGGGAAATATCGTTTTTCTTATCTCTCGACGAGAGAGATTTCTCCACAGACGGCGAGATTTCTTTCTCGGATTAACTGAGGCGCGTGTAATATTTCATCCGTTTATCGAAATAACCGGTTCTCGGACGAGATTTGAATGGGAAATAGAGATGAAAAGTGCGAGCTTTCAGCATCTCCGAGAGAAAGAGAGAGAGAGAAAGAGAGAAAAGTGGAAAATCCACCGCTCTCGGCTTCCACCCGGCCGGCAAATAGTGGATTCACCGTTTTTCGATCGCGCGTCAGCACTTTGCCTAGCTCGTCGTCGTCGTCGTCGCCCTGAATAGAAAACGCCCAGGCTGCTTCCCTCCTCCTACCTGAGTTAAAGCCTGTCTGTTCTTCTCTCGAGGGCGATCCCTCGACCGCTTCACGCGACTTTGAGTGAAAAACTCAGCAGGAAAGTGCTCAAAACGACCCACCGCATAATGGAAGGCTGCGAGAGTAACGCGCCACACACCGACTCGTGAAGATTCCCTTTCTCCGCGAAAGAAAGCAGAATATCGCAAACAAAAAGGGGTGACACACGCAAGGGGACACGCATCTTTCCTCATTATTGTATCAAGTTGTTGTTCATAAATAGCGTTAAAGCTTTATTTAATCAGTAAGCGAGTCGTCTCATTAAAAAAATTACCGCGCGACAATATTAAATTACAATTGATTAAATAATATTTTAGGGCTCGTGAAAGTTTGAAGGAATAATATAAGGCCGATACGAGCCAATCCCAGGATATTGAGCGGGAACTTGAACGTGCATACATATATGTATACATCTATAACAAGTATTACTTGTAAATTTTTACAAGTTTTTTGAATTGAAAATTCAATTCTTAAATTCATACGGGATGCGGGATTTGCATCTCACATATGAAAGACCCCGAATACCCCCCTAACAGGGAAGGCGATGGCACGGNAAGCCGGAGATTCCAGGTTCGACTCCTGGCCGAGGAGTTTTTTTCGCAATATTTTAAAATTAGTTAGGGGGGTATTCGGGGTCTTTCATATGTGAGATGCAAATCCCGCATCCCGTATGAATTTAAGAATTGAATTTTCAATTCAAAAAACTTACTTGTAAAAATTTACAAGTAATACTTGTTATAGATGTATACATATATGTATGCACGTTCAAGTTCCAGCTCAATATCCTGGGATTGGCTCGTATCGGCCTTATATTATTCCTTCACAATTGATTAATGCGCGCGCAAGGTGAAATTATATTTCTCATCGTAAAGAATGAAAAAAAAAAAAAAAAAAATACAAAAACTTATCAATTCCGATTGCTGTCAATTATATGACTCGGAAATGCTATTCTAGGAGATCGACTCCGGATAGGGGTCTCGATCGAGAGAAGTTTCTCATCACATCAGAACAACGCGCACAAACGCGTTTTTTCGCGCGCGGATATTACTTCCGACCCTATCGCCAGAGAGCTTGAACCGAAGCCAATATCGGACGCGGAATTCATTTTAACCAGTTGCGCATACATGACGTCATCGCGCGATCACGTCACGGACGATTCTCGGGATCTAATGACTCGAAACGGAAAACAAAAAAAAAAAGTCGCGAATTTCAGATTCGATCTCGCGATTGTTCGCCGCCGAGAAGAGCCGCGTTTAATATAATCTCCGATTAAAAAAAATAAAAAATAAAAAAATAAATTATGAATTCGCGGCCGCTCGTGCGTGATAGAATCTAGACGCGAACCTTCACTCTGTGTAATACTTGCGCGCTCCAAATCCACAGTCGCAGCTTATTAATAATGCGTTCGCGTGCACGCTTCAGTAAACATAATTATCTCCCCCTTCCCTGCCCCCCTCACCCGTCGTCATCCCGTGAGACGTTCTCCGATTTGTGCCGCGCTATAAAACCGCGGACTTAGGAAAATGGTCGGAACGCCAGAACCAGTTTAAAATCTCCGACATCGTCCGGCTTCTTCTAATCCGCATTAAGGCGAATTCTATTCTTCCGCCTCGTTTGCTATTAACGCGCTGATAATCATTTTTGTTTTTTTTTATCTCGCGGCAAATATACCCGCACTTTTTCGCGACGAAATAAAAAATTCAGACGTACGAAGATTCCCGAGTCGAAATTTAAACCCTACTTTACAGGAAAAAAGGAAATTTCGGACGTACATATAGCAGCGTCAAAGTAGCATCTACTTTTTTTCTTACTCCTACTTTGAGCCTATCAGAACCTGCAATGCGCAGTTTGATCTAAGAATTGAACCCTACTTTAAAAATTTAAAGCAGGAAAAAAGGAAATTTCGGACGTGTAGCAGCGTCAAAGTAGAATCTACTTTCTCTCTTACTCCTACATAAAAAAAAGAAAAATTGAGGTTCAATGTAAACGCTAAATTTCGACTCGGGTTTTTTTTCTTTTTTTAACGTCGATCTATTTCTCGTCACCGAAAAAGGTCAGAGTCGAAACGTTTGCGTGAGAATTACTTTTTTTTTAGATTTTTTTTAGAAGCGCAAACAATAATCAGCGTTTGGCTCTTTGATTGTCCGTTTTTATTTTGTCGTTACGTAAGGAGTGTCACATACGGGATTTTCAGTTTATCGCATGGTGACACTTAGAAAGTCATGTTCTTTATGTTCACCAAATATTAACTCTCAACGGACGGACATGGGTCGTTTTCGTCTGGAGCAAAATTACTTTCTGAAATTAGAAAGAAACTATGGTTTCGTTTTCTTTTTAAAAATTGTTTATCTACTCTAGAATTTTTTGAAACCTTTTTTTTTGGATTTGTTGTCATATTTGCTAAAAATTATGAAGTGAAACTTTTTTTTCGCTAAATTTAATGATGGTTTCTTAAAATAGACAGTTTAAAGAGTATATACAAATTGTGTGTGTGTGTTTCAGATTTAAAAAAAAATATTTAATATTTTTAAAAACGACCCATGACCGGAGAATTAAGGTGCCGAAAAACACGCCGTCCGTTGAGGATTAAAAAAAAATATTCATAAGTAAGGTAAAAATTTCAAACCGAAAGATCCCTTAACCAGGGAAACTATACACGAAGCTTTAAACTTTTAAACTGCTCTCCTCTAGAATCTGCGTTTTGTTGAGTTACGGGATTATACGTAGGAAGTGACGATTTATTATAAATATACGTGTTCAGAATTTTTATGAAATATCTGTATCGGAATGCGTAAAAACTCAAGGTCGCGCGCGCGCGCGCGCGCGTTACAAGTTTCGTTCTTTCAACGTGACGTGTCACACGATATTATCATCTTCCCGTCTTTACCACCACGACCGGATCTTTTTACATATAGACAGACGTCCTGTTATCGCGGACACTCGTCGTGTTAACACGCACGCCCGAATCGGGTTTCTTAATTCAGTAAAATGAACGCGCGCGTGCATATACCTAGCTCCGGGCGTGTAAAACCGAGGAGGAAGCAGCAGGAAATTACGAGCGTGTATACAGATGGATTCTCTTTTCTTTGACGCGATCAGTCAGTATATACGGTATATAAGCCAACGCTCCGGCCAGATAGATGTCAGGAAAAAAGAGAAAACAACACGAGAGCGCGGCGAAAGGATTTTAAACGTTCATTGTGAAGTGACGACATAATGGATTGAGTAACGCGCGCGCGCGCGCGTTGTTGTAAGCGAGACGGAGATATTCGTCTCCTGCGCGATCACAATCCATTATATACAAACCTCCTCTGCTCTGAACCTCTGAAAAAAAAAAAAAAAAGTCTCGCTAGTCGAGACGAACATTTACGACTCGTTTATGAATTATTTACAACCGATCTCATTAACATGAAATGTTGGATCCAAACTAATTTGTGTGAAGTATATAATTCGCGGAACTGAACGACGCAACTTCGCACAATGTGTTTGATGACTTCATGAATATCCCCGGTTTCATATTTAGTATCACCGCCTTTCCCGCGCACAGATGTAAATCACACATCAGATTAGAACACCCCGGACGTTGATACAACATCGCTGTGCGAGCCCCGAGAGATGCAAAATCCCGACACACACACACGGTATTCTCCAAGTTGGGCGAACACACGATCGTTGAGAGATTGAGCGCGCGCAGAAGAGAGTCGAAAGTGTCTATGGTATCATCGAATACAAAATTTGCATACGTGTCTCATTATTCGTCAGCGACCCGGAATAAGGTGAGGCTATATTACATTTCTCAGACGATAGACAATTTTTTTTTTTTTTTCGACGAAACGATTTGCCTCATCCGACGGGACGAAGTCAGTGACACGCTGTCGTGTCATCATCGGCGAGAAAACGAGGTCACAGGTACACGCACGATGGCACTTCTTCTTCGCAACATATATGTATACACGTACGTTCGACGGTTTGATCGCGAAAGTCGAATCTCGCGCGCGACCGACTATCTCCTTCTTCGCAGCAGCAACAGCAGCCTCCGGGCGCGAAATTTTATTTCGTCGCAAACGCCAAGCGCGCGACGCACACGACGCTTTTTTTCATACATATCGATCGCCGGTTTAGAAATTTCTATTTTTGCACGTACACTATCACATACGGGAAGAACGTAATCATAAGCTAAGCTATAGGTCGTTGCCACCGGTAGTGTGACACGATGGACCGTGAAGAGAAGATTTTCCAATAACGCGTGTGCGTCGCGCTCATCGAGGGCGCGTTTACAATCGTCGTCGGTTTTAATATAAAATTCCCCGCCTGGAGTTGATGATAAATAAATCGAAAGATCCAAGACGCACACGTCGAAGCGAGTATATAAAAAGCGTCGACGTTGCGAAATTTTACGATATACACGGTGTCCGCGATAAAATCGCCCGCAATACTTTGGAAAGTGGTTGGGGATCGAAAATGAAGAAAAAAAAAAAAAAGCTATATAAAATATAGTTCCGGAAAGTCGCTTCCGAGTTATAGCCACTTTTGTGCCCGCTTTGGCACCTCTCATTTTAGAGTTTTTTATTTCTTCAATTTTTATTGTTTATTTTTTAAGTTGTTTTTTTTTTCAATTTTTCGATATTTGTAAATACAATTACACATTATCTTCAAAATCAAGGATAAACAGGTATTTAAATCGATTTAAATATTTTTCAAACTGACCAGCGCGAATGCAGGTCCTTGTTCTCTAAATTACGATTTTTTTAAACATAAAAGCGGCTATAACTCAAAAACGACTTATTTCCGGACTGGATGTTTATACACAGTAAAAAAAGGCAATTTTAACATTTTTTGCATGTTCCAGGAGATACACTCTAAATTTTACGTTAAAAAATAACTCATTCGTTGTAAGTCACTTGTTGACAAACTAGTAAAGTCAAACAATTGACACAATACTTTACATTTATATTTGTTATTTTGACTGCAAGCGTGATGTAAGAATAACATATATAAAATAATTAAAACTACACAAAACAGTAGTTACAGTAACTCGTAAGAAATGTTAATAAAAAACATTTTAGTTTGTACAATGTGGCCAAAGATTTTTAAAAAATTTTTTTAGTTTGTTAAATTGACTTCGAAACATCTAAATTAATTGAAATCATTGTGTTAAAAGCACTTAAACAATATTCCATTTTTAAATGACATGCAAAAAATGTTGTAAAATATTCGTGAAGTTAACATATAATAAATTTAACGCGTGAAAAGATTAAAAAAATAATAACATATCAGTATTATGTTAATTTTACATTGAAGTAATAATCGAAACGTCGTAACACACAAGAAAAGTTCTACATTTTGACGCACGATTTTGTTTACTGTGTATATAGCTTTGTTTTCTTCTTTTTGAATCTCCAATCGTTTCCCGAAGTGCGTTTCGCGGCGATTTTCCGGACACCCGGTATTTTTGATCACGTCAATGAAGCAATTTCCGCATTTTTTCCAATTATTTCAACGTTTTCCGATTCGTTTCTCTTCACCAGGTCTTTCGTTTTTCAAACTACTATATATTTAATGCGATAAAAATACACGGCTAAAAGTGACAAGAGGCGAAATATGTGTATGTATGTTCCACTCCATACCGGGGAGAATATACCGCAGGAGAGCTATTCCGTATTAGAACTCTGACAACACGGAATATTTCGTGACCTGCATAATAAACGTGTTAAATATAAATTCTGCAGGTGAGACACGTACCAGGGTTTTCATGAGGGCGCTCAGTTCCTTCGTGACCACGGCGAATTTGAGAAACGCCGCGCCTATGTCCGGTTCCTGTTCCTTCAGCGCGGCATCGCCGAGTCGCTCGAGCGCTCTTCCCAAGTACACCTCGTTGTCCACATGTGCTGCAACAAAAAAGTGACGGAGTCTCGTGAAAAAAAAAATATTCAGACCCTCCGTTTTACTTAAAAGATATAAATAAAATTCTCTTTTCGCACACACGCGCACACACGCACACACAAAAGATATCGCGCTACATCCATCTCTCCAATTTCGAAATCATTAACGCGCGCTCCGTAAATTTCTCTACGCGGGCATCTACGCGCGATTATTAATTCAACGGCGAACATTCGCGCGCGGCGAAAGCGCGCACCCGGCCGTTATTAAATAAAGCGCCCGCGCGCGCCGCGTGTTGTAATCATTTAAACGCTCGCAATCGCAGTGTTAATTTCTGACTGACCTGCCACTTTTTCCGCGCTGCAGCCCGAGTCGAAATTTAACGTCTACATTGAACCTCAATTTTTCTTTTTTTTTATGTAAGAGTAAGAGAGAAAATAGATCCTACTTTGACGCCGCTACACGTCCGAAATTTTCTTTTTTCCTGCTTTAAATTTTTTAAGTAGGGTTCAATTCTCAGATCAAACTGCGCATTGCAGGCTCTGATAGGCTCAAAGTAAGAAAAAAAGTAGATGCTACTTTGACGCTGCTATATACGTCCGAAATTTTCTTTTTTCACAAATTGAGGTTCAATGTAGACGCTAAATTTCGACTCGGGAGAAGCCGCCGCGTCACGTGCATCTTTTCGCGAATGCACAAGTCGTGTAAAAACAAAACCAAAAAAAAACAAAAAAAAATAAATAAATAAGACAATGGAAAAAGAAGGAGAAGAAAGGAAGAGAGAAAAAAAATTACTCTCGTAATTTTATCTCTTCTCCCATCGTAAGGCATTAGAGTGCGGTGCGTCGGTCGCATTCCTGCATTCCGCGTTTGTACCTCGAATTAACGAAGCACACCGCAGCCTTGCAAGGCTGTGCTCCATGCAGGCTTGTGGAATGTACTTAAACTCGCGCGAGCGTGTTTATCTCGGGCGAGTTAGGTGCACCGAAAAAATTGTATTCTTGTTTTGAGGATATCCCACTTGCTTTGAGTATATTTTATACTAAAATAGGCGCCAAGAAGAGTTTCTTATTTTAAGAGGAAAATCTTCTAAATAGTAATATTGATAAGAATATATGCTGATTAGAATATAAAAAGCCTCTATAGAAAAACATACAGGGTGATTCAGAACAACCCGTTATCTTTGAAAATACATATTCTTGACTAAATTCTAAGACAACTTTTTATCTGGCAAAATTTTCTCTGAAGCTTACTTTTTGAGTTACTAATAAAAATAGTTGACGTACCATGAGTCGGATTTAAAAGGTAGGCAGGGGCGGCGCAACTCACCGTGATTGACAGTGATTTATGTGATGCACGGATTAAATGATACAAATTGCGAATGAGTAAATAAATAAGTAAGAGAAAAAAAGAGAGAGAGAGAGAGAGAGACAGAAAAAGATACAGAAACAATGCGTAGCGATCATCAGCTGATCGCGTCAGGCACCACACGTAATCGCCCGCGTCTCTGACGGTGAGTTGCGCCGTCCCTGCCTACCTCTTGCATCCGACTTGTGGTAAGTCAATTATTTTTATTAATAACTCAAAAAGTAAGCTTCAGACAAAATTTTGCCAAATAAAAAGTTGTAGAATTTAGTTAAGAATATGTATTTTCAAGGATAACGGGTTGTTCTGAATCACCCTGTATATATCTCACTATCGAAAAAGACTATATATTCTTAAATTGAGAATATATTCTTAAATAAAAATTAAATAAAGAATATATTCTCTTAATTTCAGAAGAATATCATCTAAAATCTTTAAGAAGATTTTTTAAGTATGAAATCTTCTACTGCGTGCATATTCCTCTCTCGAATTTTGTGCATCTCGCGACACCCCGCACACCGAGAGCTACTCTTCTTCTTTCCTTAATATCTCTGCCGCGCTTCTTGCTCGCGAGATCCTTCCGCTTCTTCCCGAATCTGACGTATGTACATACACACGCATTCTCGGCGGAAGAAAATCTATATGTGTCTCTCTCTCTCCGCTTTCCGATATTCCGATAATCTCGCATTCTCTCTCGCGGACTGCGGAGAAGGACTGCAGCTTTTCCTTCTTCGCATTGCGACGATACCTTTTCCTCGCGATTCTTCCTGAGTGAGTTTCTCGAATCGATATCGATACGCGCGTGTACATGTGAAGCGAGAGAGAGAGCGCGGAATCTCGCTCGACTGCAAATAAGAGCCAAATAAAACGTACAACACACCTCTCACACGCCCGGTTCTCGCGACTTTTCTCTCGCGCGCGCAAAAATTCCGTTTCATGTTCAGTCGCAAGTCATGAACTAGGGTAAAAGACCCAATTACTGTCACACCCGAATAATAAACTCTGGCGTTAGCGAATTGTTTTTAATACTTGTTTATCGAAAACATGTGTTTTTCTTCTTAACCGGTATTATTCGATGTCTCCAATATAAGGAACAAAATAATACCGCCTCTCAAAATCTCTATTTTTATTTACAAATTTAATAATTAAAAAAGAACGACGCGAGAGCTATTACTGTCACCCCCTAAAATGAAAGAAACGAGACGCGAATGTTGAGTGCTGGAGATTTTTTGTTATATTAATTGCACTTAAAATTCTATGTTAGATTGTTTTCGTGCATAACTTTTTAGGATTTATTTAATATTTTAAATAAAATAGCTTAGGGTGTCCAGTAATTGGACAGGTGACAGTAATTGGGTCTTTTGCCCTATCTACGCGGATTTTTATAAGCGAGATGATTAATTATCGCATATAATCTTTGTCCGGGATTACGAAATAAATGTTTTGAATTTACATATGCAATAATATCGCGCAATCAAACTTCTCGGACAGTTGCGATTTTCTTTCCTCAAACAGAGTTTATTACCTTCTCCCTTCCCCGTCGTCACATCATCGCCTTTTTTTCTTCCGTCACGCGGTCATCGCGCAGTCCGCTCACGCTCGCGAGACTGCGCGGAATATTATCAAAGAGTTTGCGAGAGATCGTAATCGGGAGACTCTTGATTGTAATCATTTAACAGTTCGTTTTTTCGCAACAATTCTCTTTCTTCCTTTGCGCGGAAAATACGCACGTTAAAATAACTCGATTCTCAAAGATACGCGCGGATGCGTAATAAGCAATACAGTGCCAACTCGCACGTCGTTATTTTGAGGAAATTTACGTTTTAACCCTCAACGGACGGCGTGTTTTTCGACACCTTAATTCTCCGGTCATATGGGTCGTTTTCGTCCTGGGCTTTTTAGAAATATTAAATATTTTTTCAAAAAATCTGAAACAATTTGTATATACTCTTTAAACTGTCTATTTTAAGAAATCATTGAATCATCATTAGATTTAGTGAAAAAAAAAGTTTCACTTCATAATTTTTAGCAAGTATGACAACAAATAAAAAAAAATTTTTTTCAACAAATTCTAGAGTAGATAAACGACCCATGTCCGTCCGTTGAGGGTTAAGATTAAAAAAAAAAAAAAATATGTTCGTACATGTATTGTTTTTAAGATGTTTGTGAATTTTTGACGTGTAAAAACATTTGAGTTTTTAAAAATACGATTGAGAAACGTTGTTTGATAGCTGAAACAAGCGCACTGCATAAATATCTCGATATTTCATTTTTTGTGAGCTGACACTGCGTTGCTTATTTGGCGTCCGCGTATTCTTAAGTTTTGTCTTAATCGTTTCTCAAACGCGTCTGAAATTCAATGAGAATTCAACGAGAGATGCGCTCTCAATCGTCCATTAATTACACTTCAGAACTCATCAAACACTTTGTTCTCCTCCACAAGCGTGTCTCTATGATTCAATTTCCTTTTCTCCAGTTTTGTTCCAGAACTTTCCTTCAATATCCGACCGCATATTCTTTCTCTCCCTCCCTCCCTCCCTCCCTCTCTCTCGCTTCATCCTCCTCCCCCCTTCTCCCTTTTTTGAAAGACATTGCAATCTGATTGACTTCGAGTGACGTCGAAAGGAGTTTACCGTCTGACTCGAAGAGAACGCATTCTGCTTCCTTCCAAGAGAAATTTCATTAGCCGAAGGAAACTTCTCCCAACAGGACGCACCAAAGGAATATAAGGAAAGTGGGTGGAGAGAGGAAGAATAAAAAGCTATTATATTGTCCCTTGTGTCTCGTCGTCAAGCGGCGTTCACAATTCATTCGCGGCGACGCGTCGAACACGATCGCAATCCGAGTTCGACTGAGTGAATAAAGACCGGTTACGAACTCCACCGTTCCTTTCCTCGTTTAATGAAACTTCCAATTAAATATACGTCGCGTATAAACGTTAAAAAGAGACCGTCTCTTCTCAATCGGAGAATAATGCAATATTCGGAAAAACGTTATATCGCGTTTCTGCTTTAAAATGCAGCGTGAAAAACACGTTTACGGGAACGCTCTGTCCGGTATATAACGGGAAAATAAAACCAATGAATAAAACAACGCGCGCAAGGAAGGAAGCTGAAAAATATCGGAATTCCCCCCTTTTCCGCGATTGGAGCGCGCGCGCGAGACGTGTACCATATATACATACGTACGTAGTAACATTGCAATTCTATAAATCATCCCTTCGATTGAATATTCCGAGACGCGTTTCTTCCCTCGCCCGACGTGGATAGACGTAGAACTACTTTACTTCTTCTTTGTGTCTTCGCTTTTTCGTGATCAGAGAGACTCCAAGAAAGAAATATCGTATTTGATATCGACCGAAAAACGTCTTGGAAAGGGATAACTTGGCGAATCTTTTACCACCCTCACATCCATCCGCGCAATTTCGCGTCATCGCTTTCCCTTCCCGTTCACCCTGATTCTTCGAGAGCCGAAGATTTATCGAAGCCTCGCCTCCTCGCGCTCTCTCTCGACTACGCTTCGTATCTCTCTCTTGTCGCCGAGAAATTACGCGCGGAAGAAATTCTCGCGTAAGAGCCTCGCGAGAATTCGGCGTCGTTAGCTTTTCACACGCCCGGCTGCTGGCGCCCGGGAAACGTTTGAT